CGGCAAGGGGTACAGGGTGCTAGGGCCTAAGGCAGGCAGGGTTGGTTTGGGCCAAGCTAGAGCGGCAGCCCGAAAGTATGGGAATAGTCAAACCCGGTGGACAGATGTCGGGCGCCGCCATGTTGGGGGCGGTGCACGGGTAGGACGGAACAATATTGTGTTGCTGGGAAAAAGGCGCGCCTCCTTCGCCCAAAGGCCCCTCCTCCCCGTGGGAAACGCGTCTTTAACTTGTTTCTTCCTGATTCCGTAGGATAGGCATCGGTTCTGGTGCATCTTGGTAACCTAAGCTCCTAGCAGGGAGTCTGGTGTCTAATGTGTGGTGAGTGAGTGAGTGAATGAAGGAGCGACGGGTGAAGGACCAACCTTTCTCAAGCCTCAGTGCCCTGCTTGATCTCTTTGGTACCTTCCTCAGGCTGACGATGGACTCTGCGGAAAGGGAGGGAGGGCAGCACTTAGTTGCTTGCCTCTTGTACTCCGTGATTCAGAGGTACTCAAGCTCCAAACCTGAAAGAAACAAATATCCAGGCGCAAACACCAGCTTTACTGGCTGACGAACTAAGCTGCTTTTGTCTTTCTTTAAGAAAGACACAGAATGCTTCTCCTCAAAACAAACTTGTTTTTCCCAGAAATTACACATATCGCCGAAAGTGAAGAAGTGTATAATTTTTAATTGGACAGATATTTATTGAGTTGCAGCTAAGTGCCAGGCACTGTACTAGGCTCTGGCGACTCAACTGTCAACATCACGGGTACAGCTCAGAGGACACACACTCATGGTGGTTGGGAAATGATAGGATGGAAGTACGGGATGCTGACCAACAACAGTTTTCAAACTTTTTGGTTTCAGGACCCCTTTACACGCAAAAATTATTGAAGACCCCAAAGAGCTTTTGTTTATGTGGATTATACTTATTAATATTTGTCACACTAAAATTAAAACAGTCATTTAAAAGTATTTATTAATTCCTTTAAAAATAACGAATCCATTATGTGTAAACATAAAGCTGCTAAACATAAAATTGAGGGTGGGGAAAAGCATCCCAAAAGAAATTATTTCTACTATTTCTTTGTTTCTAAACATTCTAACTCCCCAATTACCAGCTGTGTGAATATGGTTTCCACCATAACAATGATTTTTAAGTAGTATCTTGAGTTCTTTTTTTCTTTTTTTTTTCCCAATTACATTTCTTTTTTATGATGTTCTTGTGTTGGGAACTATTGGAGAACTGAACTTGCATGCATTTTTATAATATAGATAATATGAATTTTATTAGGCTCATTTAAGCATCAGTAAATATTTCTTCCTGGATCCAAAAATAGTATACAGCTGTTTCCAGCAATGTGTTATGGACTCCCATTTCATTCCTGGGTGAATTAATAGCATAGGTGATAATGTGCTACATAACCCTAGTGCCTGCTGAGTGCCTGCGATATCCACAGGATCCTCTGAGTAGGTAGTCAAAAAGGTTCCTCATGCCTGTGTCCCATGTGACCCAGCCACCCTAGCCCAAAGGCTATCCAGAGGCCTGTGAAGCAACTTGACAGGGTAGCCCTGCATTCTAGACAATTTGATGAATTGAGCCAATTAGAGCCTCCCCCAGTGAGAAGAATGAATCTGGAACATACAGGGACAGGGTCAGAGTAGCACAGAAGCAGGGAGGCTCATACAGGAATGGTCATAAGCAGAACAGAGACCTGCTGTGAAGTTCCCCAGAGGTGAGAAGAGAAGCTGACACAGTGATAGAGAGTCACTGAGTTACTATACCAGTGGAGTTGGAAGCTAAGCACACTTGTACCTAAATGGCATTCTATTAGACCATGAGACCTGACAGTTATTTTTTAAACAATGCTATTGTCTCTATGAGGCCTGGCTCCTCTTTGTTCTTATTTCCCTATGTATTCATAGAATTAACTCCCTAGTAACCAAGGTAATCTGAAAGCATCTCTGTCTTCGTAACCTGTCTTTTTTAAGATTTTTCGCAAGTCACAGAAATGCTCAAGATAAGCAAAAAGGGGGGACTCATTATTATAAGATAGGGGGGATCTCCTGAAACTCCAGGATAAGAATGTAGATGGGCTGCCTGAAGGGCTGCTGTACCCAGGAAGCCAAATCCATCTTGGAACCCAGACAGCTGGCTTATTTCCTAATATCTTCTTCATTCTTCTCTCTTTGACCTCTGTACATAGTAATCTGTGCTGTACTCCTAGTCTGATAGGCCATGGCCTTTTTTTATTATTTTATTTTATTTTATTATTTTATTTTATTTTATTTTTGTTTAAAATATTACAGATGTCCCTTTTTCTTCCCAATGACCCGTTCCACCCCATCCCACCCCCTTCCCGAGTCCCTCTCCCCACCGTTGTCCGTGTCCTTGGGTTGTGCATATATG